CTAAGACATGAAGGCTTTTTGGAATACCAATTCCATGTTTCATTTGGATAATAAACTTTCATATTTATAAGGCACAATAAAAAGACAAGGCATCATTTGAAGATCATATGGTCCTTCTTGTTTGGACAGCATGAATGTGTAAAACTCTGGATTGATTTTTTTTGTGACTAACTGTCCAAATCACAAAAAGTACCACTTTGTTTTCAAAATCCACTCTCCTCTGAAATGTTGATGTTTGCTTTAATTAGTTCCAATTGTCAAAATTATCTTTATCTGACTCTCTGTTCAACTTGTCAATTACCCATAGCTGTCTGTCTGTCTGTCTACATTTCTACCAATGTACTTACCTATCTCACATGGGCACATTTCATAACAAATGGATACTGGAGATTCCCCCCCCACACACACAACTTTGTACAATACAGTAGCAGAGTCAGTTTCGATTGATGAACTGGTTGAATACCTGATCCTTCCAAATGCCTTTCCATTCCCAGTAATATCACACTAGATCAAATTATACTTTCTAAAATTTGATCTAGGTGGTTAAAATAGGACAATGTGATTATAGCAATAACAAGAACACTTAGATTTACATACCGCCCCATGGTGTTTTACAGCACTCTCTGAGCATTTAACTAACGTCAGCATATTGTCCCCCAAAATTTGGCTTCTCATTTTACTAACCTTGGAAGGATGTAAAAGGGTGAATCAACTTTGAGCCAGTCAGGAATGAACTCCAGGCTTTGGGCAGAATTTGCCTGCAATACTGCAATTCTAACTACTGAGCCACCAGGGCTCCTTTTTGATTGGTCCTTTCTAATCTTGATTGGGACTGCTCCTTTCTTCATCTTGGCAAGAGGTCAAAAAGGTAACTCTTGGTCTGGTATTTCCCAAGCATTTCTCCCAGAGAAAACTCCCATGTATCCAAGGGGAGGGCCCTCTGTATCTTTAAGTTTAATATGGATAGACTACAGTTGGTAAACATTTTCTATTCCCAAGGTCACCATAAGGCAAGCATTCTACACCCAAAGAAGGTCCAAGATCAAATATTTTTCCATCTAATCTTGCACTGTTCAATCAAACTGGCAATGACTTTCCAGGAACAAGGCCTTTCCAACCACCTTAATCTTCACTGAACTTCAGGATTTTGTTCCACCCCAAGTAGTGGGTGATTTGTTCCACCCCAAGTAGTGAGCTATCCAGAAGCAAATGACTTATTTGGCTTAGAAACCTATGAACCAACCGTAAATTTTAATCTGTCCTTGATCTTTGACCACAAGATAGATGACCTTTATATGATAATTTCTTCACTTCAAAACATTTTTTGATGTTAGAAAGGCAGATTTAACTGTGAATAATTCATTTCCAAGCCGTAATCAGATTCATGCTTCAAATTAATGTGGAATTAGAGAAGAAGCCATGGTTGGCAGCCTTGTGGCTCTTTTTTTTTTTTTACCAAGCATGAATCCTGAGCTCAGATTAGATTTTTTTTTTTACAAAAAAATAGTGTGTACATTCTGAACATCTATTTAGGAATAATGGAGAAAACTGATAACAGCCCAAAGACCTAAAAAGCAATCGCTCCAATCTAAGTTACTAAATCATGGAAACCTCTTCGAAGGCCATAATCCATGGTCCTGTGAGGAGAAAAAAAGAAAACGTTGCTGGGAATCTGGAATGGCTGCTATTCAGCCTTTGCCAAGCTGTCTCAGGTGTTGTCATCCAATATTCATGAAGGGGATGGTATCAATTCTCTGCTAACACAGCTGGTTTCCTAACTACGCCATTCCTTCCCCTCCGTGCTGTTATTTTTTGGTGGTGTCCGAAAATGGAGGGAAACTGGGCCTGAGTTTAATGACGCAATCGTCCCAAAATGATGTAGGAGTAGGAAATGGACCAGGAACTCTTTCCCCCATCTCAGTAACTTCCTGTCCCTTTCAAACTACCCCCTCTCTTTTGTGATTGTAATTGTGAGATACAAGTAAAGAAGTCTGATTCTACCTTACCTGGAACAGGTAAGTAGTCACTTTGATTTCTTAATCTCTGAAAGGTTTATAGGAGTGTTTCTGCTATGAATGCGTTGGAGAGCATCTATTGGCATATTTGAGATGTCATCCTAGAATAAGATCATAAGTGTACTTGCATGCAGGCATTGCATTTTATATTTTTAAAAACAGAGTGGATACAAAGAGTATGACCAAGGCACTATTTAAAGAGAATGAGCTCCTTGACAGTGCTTAGCTGATCCTGTTGTTCCAAAGAATGTTACATGGTATTCCAAAATGCTAGATATATATTTTATCTTCAATTAAGCCCATTATTCTGAAAAAACCGATTCTGATGTGCACTTGGCTGGTACACCCTCTGAGGCACAGAGTGGCTGTTTTGCCCTCCTTTTTCATGCTCCCTGTATGTAGAAGATAATTCCTTTGTCAAACAGTGTCAAACAAACAGATAATGTCAAACAAATCTTTGAACATGATCTTAATAAGGACCACTGTAATACAGGAGTTTCCAATCCTTCATACGTAAGTGGTCAGTAGAGGGGGTGTGAATAAGTGCGCTAATGTGCCCATCGTCCCTGTCATTGTATTTTATTCTCTTATTCTTGTTCTCATTTTTGTTTGTCAAATTCCAATAAATAAATAAATAAATAAATAAATAAATAAATAAATAGTATCTGTGTGACGATTCCAGGAACAGATTATAATTGTAGTCTGTCTGTTAGCTATCACCTTCTCCATTAGCTCATGGGAATTAAATAAGAAGACCTCCCCAGTGTGTGTATATGTAAGAGAAATTTCACTATTGCTTTTAATAGATGTTGTCCGATAACCTGAGATTCAAAATACCTGACTCAGATGACAATCTGCCTTCCACCAATTGCTTTGCCTCTGGAATCCCATTGTACCTTCCCATCCTTCCATTTCCTTGCTGCTAACCCAACGGCATCCCTCACCCATCACTTCCATTGCATTCAGACAGATGGTCCCCTTCCCTGTTCTCATGTTTCAAAGGAATGTTAATAATTAATTAGCATTTCATTGTGCACCAGCTGACTGCCTTAGGAAAGCTCTTGAAAAATTATATTGAAAAATATACTACAGTAAAAGAATCCCTAAAAACCTGTCAATTCTTCCCTGTTATTCCTCATGTTACGTTTTAGAAGAAATACTTGATGTCATTTTTTTTCTATGAAACCTTTGGTTTAATTCCAGATGGCACATTTCCTTCTGAAAGGCCCATCGGGTTTACTAGGTTTTCTTCCAAACATGAAGGTATGAGAAGATCCAAGTCTAAACATCAGAAATTCATTTTGTTTTCACATTTCCTAGTGCCCTTGCTTTTCTCTCTCTTCTTTTTTTTTATACTCTGCTTTTCAGAGTCTAAAGCCTTCCAGGGAGAGCCTAGCCCAGTTTGTCAGTTGTAAAATGATATGCATATGGACTCCATTGCATAACAAATAATGTAGTCGGCATATTTTGGGTAGCCAAGGAATATAATACACAGAATGGTAACTTCAAGACAAATAGAGCAGGTTCATTGGTGTGTGTAATTGATTTCATTGGCATTTGGGTATCTGCTTTGTTTGTTTAGTTTTTCTGACATGAATTGTTTAATTGCCTTCAGAAATGAGCTCTTTTTGTTGCATGGACATGTTGCGACAATAACAATAAAAATAACAATCAAAGAGAGGGAAAGAAGGAGTTACATGCACCTGCAGCCTGCCAATCCTTGGTATAAATAGGATTTTTTTAACATAGAATCCAACAAGGTAAGGAAAGGAAGAGCTTAGGAAATCAATTAATTGAATCCGCTGCATAATGCCACAATCTACTATTATAGCATCCTCAACAGACTCAGCTTCTGTCTGAACACTTTAGCAAAGGGGAGTATATTTCTTTCCAAGGCAGTCTGTTACACAGTTATATCATTTTTTACTGTTAAGATTTTTTTCCCGGATGTACAACCAAAATCTACATCCTTGTGATTTAAAACCATTATTTCATGTTTACTTTCTTTCCCAGCAAAATTATCATGGATTATATATGCTATGGCCAACATAAAAGGCAACAGACTGGGGATGGTTTAAAATAATAAACAATGCCTGCCTTCCTTCCTTCCTTCCTTCCTTCCTTCCTTCCTTCCTTCCTTCCTTCCTTCCTTCCTTCCTTCCACCCTCCCTCCTTCCCTCTTTCCAGCCAAATGCACAGATTTCCTAATTTAGCTGACAACCAAAATTGTTTGTTTTCCAAAAGTATTAGCCTGTTTTCCATCCCCAGAATTAATGAGGCTAAAAGACCTTTTCCATTTTTGGGGGACATTTTTGGAGTTGGAACAAAGAGCAAATCAAGTACTTCTTGCCTTAAAATCTGCTGAATTCATCCTCAAATAACTTTGAATTCCAGCTTCCCGCCACCTTTGGACTATTGTTAGGGGAGGATAATGGGTGATATAGTCTTACAGCTTTTGTGGATCCCTACATATTTCAAGAGGTCAAGCTGCAGAAAATGCAAAGCTGGAAAATAATGGCTAAAGGTCCAATAGAATATAAATAACTCAAGACTGAACTGGGGAGTTGTTGGTGCCCTTGGAGCTTGGTTGTTTGTAGACATTTCATTACCCAATTAGGAAACATCATCAATGCCATTGTGAATGGGATTTGCTTAGCTACCAGTTCCAATAAATATATTTCATGCTTAGAAAACAGCCTGTGTCTTATAAAACCTGTTTGGATGAAAACTTCTCACTGAGAATTAAATATGTTTATCTTTTCTTGAGACAACTTTTCAGTGGCTTATCCCAAACTACAACAAATTCTAAGCAGGAGGAATGCATGTACTCATATTTTTCTCTTGTTTCCTTTCCCTCACTATTTCCTTTATTTGTCTTTCTCCTCGGTTTGTCTCTCAACTGCTTCTTGGAGAAGGGATCTGCCTTTTTGATTTATGTTCTGAGATGAAATAATGATGTTCATAATGTATCTACTTTGCTTACAGAGCTGGAAGAGGAGTCTTTTCAGCCATGAAGTTGGGCAAAACACGTCCCTCAAAGGATGACCATCACCGAAAGCAAGGTGTACACCTAAACTTCAATCCAACCAGTGAATTACTACAATCTTGTTATACCCTGAGCCTGCAAATTTGCAGTTTCAGGCTGGGTGCAAGAGATGGGTACTCCTTTGAATTCAAATAACTCTGTGTTCATTTTGTTTTAGGAAAGCCAATTTCCTATATTTACTTGTTTACAGATTGATCGATGATGATCAATTGAATGAATGTATGATTGACTGTCTGATTTACAATATGTATACAGCCTGTTCCAACCAAAAGGAACTTTGGGCAGGGGACAATGAAATCCTATATAAACAAGAAAAATGCAACATTTCATTATCAAAATCCCCAGTAAACAATCAAAAACTTTATAGGTGCTCAATATTTGAAACTTTCCTAAGAGTCAAAGCACTGCTTTGGTTAGTTCAAAGAATGCCAATAGGATAAGGACCATCTGTCCTTCCAGCAAAGAGTATTTCATAGAATTGGATTTCTACTGAGAAAGTCAGTTGGCTCGCCCAGATGCATAAACTTTTTGACTCTTCCATGTATGTAACAAAACTGCCATTCATGATTACATTTCTTGCTGCCTCTATACTTCTCTGAGAATGTGGTGCAAATAGCTTTTAAATAAAACAATCTAGATCAATTCTCCCTTACTTGGAATCCTTCGGAAGTATGAATTATTGCCTTGCTAGCTAGAGAATTCTGAGAGCTGACATTCACCTATCTGGAAGATCCAGTTTGGAATATCCAGGTGCTTTTAATAGTGCCAGTTCTAAATTATATCATGACTGGATCATAGCTCACCATACATGTTTAGGTTTCTCTCACCCTTCTTGCCCATTGTTAAAGTTTTGTGATAGTCAATCAAATGTTATAACAATAACTTGTCTTTCCTGGACAGATCAACCAGCTATTTTGGAAGCAGAAGATCTGGACCGTAAAGCAATGCGACTTGGCGGTGGCCTGGATCCAGATACTATCTCCCTGGCATCAGTCACAGCTGTGACCACCAACGTGTCTAATAAGAGGTGAGTATAATACAACTCAGAAAGTGGAGATCAGATCTACACATGTCAGGATGTAAAAAAGGTGTGAGGAAAAAAAGAGAAATGTAGCACTTAACATTAGAGGCAATATATTAACCTATTAAAATATTTTATTCATTTCTATTCCACCTTTATTAACAAATAACTATATTTTATAACCTTTTGCTTAAGGTTCAAAATGACTCATCAAATTTATTACTCCTTCTGTACAGGGTTCAGATTTTTGCCTGGTTTATCCATAATGTTAAACTATAAGCCATCATTTGCATGTCACGATGGATAGATTTACATGTTGTACTAATCCCCAATGAAGCCAACCACACATTGTATAAATTATACACAATGGGTTAAATATTATATTGTTATTTATTATGTCATTTTTATTATCTTTCACTATTATCATGGTCTTTTTAAGATCCAAGCCAGATATTAAAATGGAGCCCAGTGCAGGAAGACCGATGGACTACCAGGTGAGATGGTTCCAGTCTCTTATTTGTGCTATGGAAATAATATGGGAGTCCAAAGTTCCCACCACCACAATCCTTCTCCATCAGCATGAGTATCTATGCACCCTTATTGCCACCTTTCACAAATTGGTACGCTTCGTAACATCTTATGTGTCCCAAAGCAGGAATTGTTGAAGGCACATCTGGTGGGGGAAAGTGATATTAGTGCATTTAGTACAACTCGGAAGCAAGTTGTGCTATTGCAGCATGTTTAACCCATGCTTAGGAGATCTGTGCTTGATTGAATCAATGCAATTGCTTTGGTTCACACAATATTCTGAAGCATAAACTTGCCAACCACAATTTAACATAGTATGAGGATATAATAAATAGCATTTAGCATTTAGGTTAACATAGTATATTGTGTGAAGCAGCTATATTCTCCATGCTGCTGCTAGCTGACACTTAATAACAGAATAGAGCTGAAAGGGAGCGTGGAGGTCTTCTGATCCAACCCCTGGTCAAGCAGGAAACCCCATACCAGGGGTGTCAAACTCGATTTCATTGAGGGCTGCATCAGGTTTGCCAGTCCTTCGCTCTTTCCAGGGTCAGATCTAAGCACCCGGCCGGCTGCATCTGGCCCATGGGCCTTGAGTTTGACACCCCTGCTCTATACCATTTTAGACAGGTGTCTGTCCAGTCTTTTCTTAAACACCTCCAATGATAAAGCACCTACAGCTTCTGAAGGCCTTAAAGATACTGCAGATTGACAAGCCTTTCTGGCTTTTGCAAAGCAGCCATAGGTAGCACGTAGTTTTCTTCTTTTAGGAAGAAAATGAGTAGAGAAAAATTAGAAGGAAGATGATGGCTCCTTGGGAATGAATCTAACAATGTGTTTCTTTTTCTTCTCTCGCCAGGTCAGCATCACAGTAATTGAAGCACGGCAGCTGGTGGGGCTCAACATGGATCCTGTTGTGTGTGTGGAGGTGGGAGATGAGAAGAAGTACACCTCCATGAAGGAATCAACTAATTGCCCCTACTATAATGAGGTTAGCTTGCTACCTGTAACAACTGACCTGTCAATTCCTTCTAGATGGATATTTAGGTTAGAGAAAAACCCAACAAATAGGGAAAAAGATGTTCCTCATAGCTGTCAATGAAGCAGGAGGGCTGAAGGGTCGGTCACCTATCTTTATAGGCAGCAGAGAAACTGACCCCAAGACCACAGAATACTGGAAAGACGTGAACTGAAGCATCTTAGTCAGTACTTGGGAAAAAATCCTGATATAACCCTGTTTATGACTTTAAGTCAACAAATTGATTGATTGGAAAGAGAGAACAAGGCCACTGGATATGATAATAGCTAAAAGTGTATATCATGTGACCAAAACTAAAGGTTCTGCTCTTTCTACTTATTACAAGTGGAAGATTAGGCCGGTGCTGGATTTTTGTCTTCATCCACACCTCAAGATTGCTATCCTTTTAGTCTATGTTAGCAATTTTCATTTCTGTATGGCACTGGGGTTTCCAACATAATCTGTGGACTCAGTATGCCCAAAGGCACCTCTCTCTAAACATTTTTAGAAAATAAAAATAAAGGGAATGAGCGGTGGGGATTGGACTGCAATAGACTTGAAATATGTTCATTTGCCTAGAGATGGCAAATTTGGGAGAAACTTATTAGTTTTCCCTCTAGTAAGTGATTATATTCCCTTAAACCAATCATTTATGCCCATGACATGCTTACAAAATTTTGAATGTACCCACTGGTTGAGAAATGTTTCAATTTCTAGTATAATAATAATTTAGGGGTTACAATTCACAAAATAAAGTATTATAATTCCATTAGCCAAACTGTAAAATTATTTTCATTTAATTTTGATTCTCAGATTATGATTACATTAACATGCTTTTTCATTATTTAGAAGTACCACAGTCATTTATTTAGCCTTACCATTTTCCCCCAGTCTCAAAGGTGCTTTTTCAAAGGGCAACTGGATTGGGTTTTTGTTTTTTTCATTTTTTGAGGAGGAAGAAGAAAACATTTCGCTTCTCATCCCAAAAGCTTCATCAGTTCTGATGGCAGGGGGATGGAAGGTACTGTCCGTTAAGATTGGATGATGGGAAGAATAGGTTCTGTTGAGAAAAGAAAAAAAACAGTCCAGTTGCCTTTAAAAAACAACAACTTTGAGACAATTATGACCTGCAGGACTGAGAATCATCACAGATATTTTGTGAGAAAAATCCTGGGGCTGCCTTGACATAGGGAACATAGGTCTTTCTCAAATTAGCACCCCATCCCTAGATTTGTTCTATCACTGCTTCTATTCTGCCTAAAGGCCATATATATATTTTTAGACAACTGTAACTGTAATGAAATATATCTGGAGAGAACAAAATGACTTACTATTTACATTTGATTCTTTATTACTGATCTTTTTACTATAAAAGACCTTAGTGACCCTTTTATCTCTCTCTCTTTTTTCTATTTCAGTATTTTGTCTTTGACTTTCACATTCCCCCGGATGTCATGTTTGATAAAGTTGTCAAATTATCGGTGAGCAACGTTTACCTCTCAGTTGGAATAGTCTCTGAAGCATGACTGAAGAAGAAAGTATTCCCTCTTTGAAAGATGGCAGGCAGACATGCAGCTAGAGTAGAAAGGGATAAGTAATGGGGAAAGTATCTCTCATTTGAGCTGAGCTTGTAACCTGATGACTTCATATTGAGCCCTGGCAGCGCAGTGGTGAGAATGCAGTATTGCAGACCAACTCTGCCGACACACACAGTCTGTAGACGCTCTTGGTAGAATGGCTGAAGATGTTATTTATTTAGAATCACATTTTTGACAGCACAGTTGTCTTGGAGATTTAGTAGAACTAATAGGAAGAAATTATTGCACTCAAATGACAAATCTTTTTAGTGAGATACGTGTAACGGCTGCATCATTGCTCTCCTCCTGAGATTAGCAAAAAGAGAATAAAGGATAAACAAGCAGAGGGAAATGTGGCCCTTAGGGTAATGTGAGCATTTGCTTAATTTGAATAATTTAACAGAATTAGAGAAATTATGTTTTTGGTAGCCTTCAATATATGCATGCAGCTTTGGGTTCATTAACACTTCACCTGCAGAAATACATCCTTTACTGACATTAATAGGGCTGTATTTTAGTGCCTCTTATATTTTTCAAATGCATATAATTTATTTTATATAATTTATTTTCTTAGTTATGTTTTGAACATAAACATAACTAGCAGTGGGCAGTGTAAATGTCCAAACAAGGAAATAAAGTGGAGTGGAATGGAATGGAATGGGTGAAATGAAGGGGAGGGGAGAAGAATGAAACGGAATAGAATAGAACAGAACAGAATTGAATAGAATCGCCATTAAGTCAATCCATTAAAGTAGAAAAAAACTAGAGGAAAAAATATAATCCCAACCACAATTGCCTTATTTAGTCACATGACTTTATTATTATATAAAACAGTGACTAAAACATTACTCCCTCTCTTAAATATTGTAAAAATTCCATTTAAGAGATAGTCAGATATTCAAACACTCAGAAAAATAAGAAAGGTCTTTGCTCTACATGGATGGGGGCCTTGAGGCGGAGGCAGAGAAATCTCCCCGGGGAGAGCATGCCACAGGCACTCTGGAAGTGCCTGCTTCTAACTCCAAGGCAGGGTTCCTGGCAATCCTATAGTCCTCTGTGCCTGAAATTACCTCTGTTTTTTTAACCTGTAGGTGATTCACTCCAAGAACATCCTGCGCAGCGGAACCTTGGTGGGTTCTTTCAAAATGGATGTGGGAACCGTTTACACCCAGCCAGGTGTGTAATGCAAAAACAACAACAACCCTATTTTGTGGAAAAGCCTCTTGCTTTTTCTGGTCTTGGAAATTTTGCTTGGGAAGCACTTTATGTCAAGAACTCATTTCCATGCAGTTTCCCAGGTCTCTACTCCCAGGAGCTATTAAATATCCAGTTTCTGCTGACTGTATTACTAGATCCATCCGCTTCTAATGTAGCCTTTCATCAATGTCCCATCTGGCTGTAAGACCACAGCAAAAGTGTAATTCTTGTGGCCTCCCTTCTCCTCCAGCATGGCCATGGGACTCTCAGAAGCATTGCTTTCCACTTTTTAAATGTTTATTCTAGTTTATTCATCTAAACAAAGTAGATTACACTTAACTAGTCACTAGTTTTGGAGGAAAGCACATTCATATGATGGAATATAAGACTAGATTTTAAAAAATGTTATTCTGCTGTCCTCTATAGTTCTATTCAGACATGATTTTTTTGCAGCAAACGTTGTTTTAATGGGGTGTTACTCTTGTCAACAGGATTCTAGGTTATTCATAGTTCTTTCTTCTCCTTTCCTTGCAGAGCATCAGTTCTACCATAAGTGGGCCATCTTGTCTGACCCAGAGGACATCACAGCTGGACTGAAAGGCTATGTAAAGGTTGACATCGCAGTGGTGGGCAAAGGAGATAATATTAAGACACCACACAAAGCTAATGAGACAGATGAGGATGATATTGAAGGGTGAGAAGTAGAAGCTGTTGGGCAGGGTTGGTTTCACCCCATGTTATTAAACAATCGTGGTTTCTTTCCAGATCAACTCTGGATGTGTTCTGCATCTGTTTTCTGTTTGAGAACTTAAGAGAAGGAAAAACGCTCACCTTGTCTCTCCTCAAAATCATCTCCCACTGTTCTATTGGCTTCATCTTTTCTAGACCAAGAAAGCTGCCCTTCTTTTGTAACGTTCGTTTCTTTATTTTATGTGGTTTTTGCACTCTCAAATATCATATCTCGTATTAGTTTACTTATGTTTTTTTTAAACTTATTTCTTGTTTGTTTATATGATTTATATAGCCACCCATCTCAGGCTGGTGAAATCGTGAGACAGATTTTTTTTCAAGTAACCTTAAATTAAAAAAAATAAAACTGGGCAAATCTGTACTATGAAAATATTACTTTCAAAGCCCCGAGGGGGAAAAAAAAATCTCTTTTCTGCCCCTTTGACACTGAGACAGCAAAGAAAACCTCCCAAGATTGAAAACAAAGGAGCAATCTAACTAGGTTGAAACAACTTAAGAAATATTCCTTCATGTCTTCTGTGTAAAAAAAAAAAAAATTCCCTTCTAGTGCAGGAGGGCATCCTTTTCGTAGCTGAGCGTGACATCATCACCACTGCCACCATCATAATTAAAATTTTAGCCATGACAAAATGGTAAGGAAATAACATGACATTATCAATAGATGTGTGGTAGGCTAACTGTTGATTTCTCTTTTTCGGTTTCAGGGGGAATTTTGACTTACAACAGTTCATTTAGTGACTGTTCAAAGGGCACTGAAAAAATATGACATAACCATTTTTCACACTTACAACCATTTGTAGTATCCCCATGGTCATGTGATCAGAGACATGAAGAAAGGTCATAAAATGGCAAGAGAGGTTATAAAACGAGCCAAAATTCACTTGACCCCTGTCTCACTTTGCAACAGAAATTTTGGGGTTAATTGTGATCATAAGTCGAGGACAACCTATACAGTAAGAACTATTAGAAGATTATTACTTTCTTAAAAAAAAAATCTTCACCAAAACTTCTAAAAAACCTCGATTAACTGGTCCTGCAGTATAATCAAAGGGGATCATGCTAATGTTGTTTCAACAATTTTCAGCTCAATTTTGGCAGTATCATGGCTATCAAAAAGGAACTAAGGCAAGATGTGGCCCATGGGTTATTTCTGTTCTTACACACTTTTGCTCTGTGGTATACAGATTGCCTGTCTTGACCCATATCCACTTTTCATGACGCTCTCAACTAGGTTACAGTTTTCTTTGGTTCCTTGATGGAGAAAGCCTACTAGACCACCTGAAGTACTGCTTTGAACATAACTAGTAGTCTTTATTCATCCTTGGTTTACTGTGTCTTGCAGGAACCTACTGCTTCCAGATGGAGTTCCTTCAGAAAGGCAATGGGCTCGCTTCTATATTAAGATTTATCGGGCAGAAGGGCTTCCACGCATGAACGCTAGCATCATGGCCAATGTGAAGAAAGCCCTCATTGGGGAAAACAAAGACCTGGTGGATCCTTACGTCCAGGTGTTTTTTGCTGGACAGAAGGTATGTGATATCCGGTGGGATCTTGATGGATCAGGTCTCACAGCCATTCATGTTTATTTTATATAAATTTGATAAATCAATAAAAATAGATAAGTTTGATCGATCAATCAATAAATATGTTTATGTTATCCTAGCATAGGAACTGACATTTTTAGTAGGGACCAGAATATCAAAATGCCAAAATCATAGTCAGGAGTTTCATTCAGTCTGAGTACTTTAGAGCAGTCTTTCCCAACTGATGCTCTCCAGATATATCTAACAAAGATCATGCTGGTTGAGGTATTATGTGAATTGACCTGAAACAAACTAATGGCACCGTTAGATTTAAATTTAGTCTCAAAATGTATGTTTTCAGCATTTGAATATGTGAAATAATTTGCTTCTAAGCTATTACAAGAATGCAAGGGAATCTACATGTGCAGATCTCTTCATTTGCCCAAGGAATAGTAATAATAGAACCTTCTTCTTCAGAGATGCCGTACCTTTTCATACCAATCTTGAAAGAGCAGTGGTAGAAGAAGGTTAAGAACATGGATGCCAATCTACCAAACTCTAAAATTATTTCAATCTTATGTCCATGGCTCAGGGGAAAACATCTGTTCAGAAGAGCAGCTATGAACCTGTTTGGAATGAGCAGATAGTTTTTGCAGAGATGTTTCCCCCGCTCTGCAAAAGGATCAAGGTCCAGATCCGAGATTCTGACAAGGTCAATGATGTGGCTATTGGAACTCATTTCATTGATCTGAGGAAGATCTCCAACGAAGGAGACAAAGGTAGGGGAGGATGCAGACATTCTGCCTTCAGACACCTCTATTTTTTGCCTACTTAATGGTTTTGTTCCTATTCTTCATTTTCTGGTTCGTTGTCCCCAAACCTAGTTATGTTTTTCTATTTACAACAAAGGTACACAAATGTCTTATAATAGGATGCATTTTTAAAAGACTTAACACTTCAATGGGTTTGATTTACTCACTCTATACCCCTCATTGCTAATATCCTGGCAACATTTTCTGACAACATTTTCTTGTCCAGCTGCATCACCTTCAACAAGATCACATGAAGTGTTAACACCACTTTAAAATGCCTTGGCAAGACCACACTTGGAATATTGCATCCAATTTTGGTTGCCACAATATAAAAAGATGTCAAGACTTTAGAAAGGGCGCATAGAAGAGCAACAGAATGATTAGGGGACTGGAGGCTAAAACATATGAAAAATGGTTTTAGGAAAACAGTTGAATATGTCTGGTTTAATGAAAAGAAGGACTAGGAGTGAGATGATAGCAGTGCTCCAATATCTAAAGGGCTTCCACAAAGGCAGAGCAAGAAGCAATAGATAGAAAGTAATCAAGGAGAGAAGCAACCTAGAACTAAGGAGAGATTTCCTGATAGTTAGAACAATAAATCAATGGAACAACTTGCCTCCAGAACTTGTGGGTGCTCACCAACACTGGAGGTTTTTAACAAGAGATTAGGCAACCATTTCTCTGAAATGATATAGAGTTTCCTGCTTGAGCAGGGAGTTGGAGTAGAAGACCTCCAAAGTGCTGTCCAACTCTGTTATTCTGGAAAAGAAATGAAACTACTAGGTTTAAAACTTTGGAAGTAAATAGTAAATGATAGGCCTGAGCATACAGAAATTACCAGATCAACTCCTCTCTTAAAACCCAAAAGAAGAAAAGATATAGCAAGAGTTAGAGGAAACAATAATGGAGGAGGATAGCTAGCTAGAAGACCGATGGTACGAGGCATTAGTGTTTTCTGTTGATGCCAGTATTAGAATAATTATGGCAACGTGTGTTGCAAATGAACCAACTGAATTGTTAAAAGCTGTTTTGGAATGAACATTTTATCCAATTCTGCTTATCTCTACAAGGTTTCTTGCCCACGTTTGGCCCTGCCTGGGTAAACATGTATGGGTCCACCCGCAACTATACCCTGATGGATGAGCACCAGGATTTGAATGAAGGCCTGGGTGAAGGGGTCTCCTTCCGAGCCCGTCTGCTTCTTGGTCTAGCAGTAGAGATCTTGGATACCAGCAACCCTGAAATCACCAGTTCCACGGAAGTTCAAGTTGAATTAGCAACTCCTGTCAGTGATGTACGTTTCCTATGTTGTAATAACTACATCTTATGTTCTCAGGATATCACACAATCACATTTAGTGGGGAAGCCTCCCTTCAATAGACTTTAGTCCAGGGGTCTCCAACCTTGGCAACTGTAAGCAAAGCTGGCTAAGGAACTCTGGGAGTTGTAGTCCACAAGTCTTAAAGTTGCCAAGGTTGGAGACCCCTTCTTTAGTCCATTCTTCATTGCAAATAGCTCGATTTTTCAGTATGAACCAAGACCGGTCATGTTGATGAAGACCTAAGAAAACAACAGAGTTGTGTTTCAGCAATATGGCCAAGAGGTGCTTTATGTCTGGGGGTTCCAGGTTTGATTCCTCTGAATGCACAAGTTTAAACTCAATTGTCAGTTAGTCATAGTTTATTGGGTTTTTTTTTAAAAAAAAAAACCAAAATAATTCTCTGCTAAATTGTATGCTTTGTGTATACAAAACCTCTGGTATGTCCCCATGCCACCAAATAAGAAAAGAACTTACTAGGTAATCTTTTAGAGTTGGTGAACCCCTTTAAAATGCTGAAAATTGTTATGGATACTCTTATAAAATGCCTGCTTAGGAATAACTTATTTCTGCACAATATGTCTCCTATGGTGGACTGCCCGTTTCAAATGGTGGACGGCTTATTTCAATTGGTGGGCATCCAAGGGATTATTTGCAGACATAATGCTGCCTCTGACTCCATGACTCCATGTTTCCTACCTATGATATTGACCAATGATCTAAATAAATATGTCACTTTCATGGGTTGAAGTCCTCCACCATAAATCATAAAACCTGCTGTGTTTATATCCCACCCCATCCCACAGAGCTGCACAGGCAAGATGGAGGAGTTTTTTCTCTTTGGATCCTTCCTGGAAGCTACCATGATTGACAGAAAGAATGGAGACAAACCAATTAATTTTGAGGTCACCATAGGTTTGTGAAGGGATTTTGTGAAGCATTGGGTATGGGTTAAAGAGGGAGATTTGCTTTCTGCAATGCTATACAAGCAGAACTGAAAGTATGAACTGGCTTTTCCAGGTGTCTGAACAAGAAGGATGAACTTGCATAATTGCTCTAGTCAGCTCTAGTCAAAGCTCTGCAGATGTGGAGCATAAAAAATATGGATCATTTTCATTGAATAATGACAGGGGAGCATGAACTTGAAAATTGTCATGTTGTCATGAGAATGATTTGTATAATATCAGTCTTATTCAAATTTTAGATTCTATGTTTCTTCCATTGCCTCTCTGCAGGCGCTATACATAACATTAATCCATTAAAGTATATCTATGAAATCTCCCGCGATGTTATCCCAGACACCCATTCCTTGAGTTTGGGCCTTAGGGTTATTCTCATCGAGCCCAAAAGCTTAATTCAACCTTTGGGTAAATCCAAGATACCATGGTATGATTAGGCAAGGCTCGGTAGCTCTAATAAATGGTATAATCTTTCCATTCTTCATCCTACAGAACCTGATTCCCTTTTCTTTTTTTCCAAGGCAATTATGGCAATGAAATTGATGGCATATCCAGGCCCACCATCAAGAAAAAGAAAGATGGTGGGGATGGCAATGAGGAGGAATCTGAGCTGCTACAGAATGACAGTGATGAGGAGATCATTATGGATGGGGAATTTTTCTCAGTCTCTACTTCTCCAGCCCTGAAACCATTGATTACTGACAGGCAAGTGAGATTGGCCACTCTTGTTAATATGAAAGGACATTTCCTTGAAAAGAGGAAGACTGTAGGATCTTTGGTTGGGTGTTAAGCTGTACACTCATGGGTTTTCTTTTCTTTGATTCAGAGATGGGGCAAATGATACTGCATTTCCTCATCTTCAGTATCATGTAGGGGGGATGGCAAAACCCAGAAGACTTTTGTGCTTAGCCTTTGTCATGGTTGCATTTACTTTTCCATCAGTAAAAGACCAGATCTTGAAAATTTTTGTGCCAGTTTCCATGTAGCTCATAAGGTAACAATAAGTCTTTGTCTTTGACTTACAACCACAACTAAACCCCAAATTTCTGTTGCTAAGCAGGACATTTGTTAAGTGAGTTTTGCCTCATTTTACAACCTTTCATGCCACAGTTGATAAGTGAATCAGAGCAGTTGGTAAGTTGGTAACATGGTTGTTAAAAGAATCTGGCTTCCCCATTCACTTTGCTTGTCAGAAGGCCACAATAGTTGATAGAATAGAATAGAATAGAATAGAATAGAATAGAATAGAATAGAATAGAATAGAATAGAATAGAATAGAA